TCAGCTTGGTTTGAATGATTGCGCTGACAGCATAATCGGCACACTATCTTCAGAGGGGATTTCAGCCGGAGAGAAAAAAAGAGTGGCGTTCGCTTCAGAGGTATTTCTAACCGACCTTCTCACAAAGAAAGTTAGGCGAAGACGTCACATTTTCTTTTGGAACTGATAACGTTGAGGTCAATAGGAATAGAGAATAACTCATCTCTACATCTATTCTTCCTCCCAAACTGGTCATTGATGGCCGTAAACTTGTATTTATGCTTTAGATCGTCACCAATCCTCCGATTTTGTTCTGTGATGAGCCAACATCTGGATTGGACTCCTTTCTGGCTGTTCAGGTCGTCAATGTAAGTGCAAATATCGTTGACGTTCCATCCTACTTCTCCAACGACGCCAGCGACACAGTTTGAATCTTGTGATTCGGTTGAAATTCTTTCGTAAATGCTTTGCTAAGCGATCACTGATACCTCCTCAGATGGGTAGAAAAGGCCATGCAAAAGAATCGTTTGTAGCCAATTCCCAGAGCCTAGCTTTAAAGGGTGTAGCTCGCAGATCCCTCTGTTACGGCAATAAAGGCTTAGGGATGGCTCACTAGCATCCATCATCCTGTTGAAAATCCTTCATCATCCAAATGGAAATAGCTTGTAAGTCGTAATTTCATTACTGGCAGCTTCGAAGACTCAGTGGTAAGTTTTCTTGCCCTGCTTCGACGACCCTGACGTTTTCACGAAATTTTCCATGAATTTTTCGAAGCCGTTGAGGCTCTACAACTTTACAGTTTTCGAAGCTATCTAGAGTGTGAGCTGAACAGCAAGTTAAGAACAACCAAGGGAAGATGATCATGTATATGGGAACGAATCACCCAGAAATTTACGATGGGGACAAATGAGTCGTTGAGCTCATCCTGGGGTGAGGTTGACCCTCAAGGTTCCTACTATCTTTTTCATAATTAGTATTCAGGTGTTGAAGAAGTTGGCGATCATGAAATCGATGACTATCGTCTTCACAATTCATCAACCCTCCAGTCAAGTATATGAGCTTTTCGACAGGTTTGCACTGAAAAATTTGCTGGGACATTTTCATCGAATTCATAACCTCATGGGAATTAGAAATGGGTATAGAATACTGAGGCTAACTGCCAAGCTGCGTGTTCATTAGCATTCAATGCTCCTTGTTCAAGTGATTTCTACTTTCTGTAAGCCTTAAAATTCAGAATTTATATGATGAGCGAAGGCCGTGTTGCATTTTGTGGACCGCAGGAGAGAGCCGTGCGATTCTGGACGGAGATAGGTCAGCCGCTTCCAAGAAACTTCAATCCTGCTGACCACTACATCTCCACGCTGTCGGCAACTGAACAGTGGAGGTCCGAACATCGTATCAGCAACGCTACGGTGAGTTTTCTATGACAATGAGGGACTAAACGGCAAAGACGAAATCCCAAGCTTCCGTAAGCTCAAACATCACGGCCACTGCAAAAGCTGAACCATCCCTAGCAGAGTGTATTCTTGCCCGTCGTGAAAAATCGACATATCAATGGAACGTCCGCCTGCATTGGAAATGTTCTCATATACCGAGAGTTGAGAAGGACGGCGTCAGTTGTTGAACACATTTATACTAAATTAGAAGGCCTTAATAACAAAAATTGGGCGTAGTGATGTATTGAGAAGCGGCGCACCATCAGGCACACACATGGTTACGGGTTCGAATCCAAGATCGATATCCGCGCAAGCCAACCAAGCCTTCCATCCCTCCGAGGTCGGTTACTTTGTTATAGATCCGTGTGGGAGGATGAAAGCCCCGAATTGCACAGTGGCTGGCCACCGCAAGTAATTCTATAGACCACATACACATTCAATCAGCCACTACGACTTGAATCGAACTCGAATGCGGGGCGCATTTCCGGACTGATCAACGCCAAGGGACTGTCTATTGAAAAAAAAAACAGAAAAAAACGTTCTGAAAAGAAAAATTTCAGGCAATATGTGAGGCGTTCAACAAAAGCGCACATGGTCTAGTGGCGTGGATGGAGGCGACATCTTTCGCAGGAGACGCCATTGACCAAAATAGGGCAGGATCGAGCAGACAACGGGTAGAACGTGCTTCAACTAAAATTGGACACCAACACAATCGATTTCGTGCAACGTAAGTAAGATGGATTCGGATTGCGGTGGTTTCTTCAAGATTCTCATTTACAGTACCTTGACTTTTTCCAGTCACCGAACGCTCCTAGAAAGGGATGCAGTTCAACTGATTGGAATTTCTCATTGCTCATCGATACCCTCCTCTTACTCCTTCCCATTTTACGGTTCTTTCTTATGGATGGGGGTGATAGTGCCACATTCTGACATCTATATTGACTTTTATCACCGATGCGTTCGAGTGAATAATAGGAAATTAGCTCTCTGAAAGATGGAGGAAATCCGCGTACTCAAATGAGATCGCGAATTTCCTTTATTAGGAACCCTGTCAAGACCCTGTATTGAATCAAGTCGCGGAAAATATCGATTGATGACACAGGAGTTCATTGTAAATCATAGTCCTTTCAGATGCTTCAACCAATTTCGAGCTCTATTTTGGCGGAACACAAAAACGACCCTACGGGAACCAACCTTGCTCAGAGTACAGCTTCTTCAGTCCGTGGTTCGTGTGGATTTTCATCCATTTTCAATGGAATACTGGCGGTCAGGGATCTCCAAAGTATACCTTTTACTAAGCGGAGTTGGAGTAGTGGCAAGTGGCACCTTCACACAAGCACGGTCGCGTATTTGAATCCCCGACGGATAACCGCCTAGGCCAAGTAGACCTCTCATCTCTCCGGGACCGCTTAATTGTTACCAGACTCTGGGCGGACAAAAGCACTGTCTTGTACATCTGACTCGACTTATACGCGTGAGTGCTGATAAGCTATGGCATATAAGCCANCAGGAGACGCCATTGACCAAAATAGGGCAGGATCGAGCCGACAACGGATAGGACGTGCTTCAACTAAAACTGGACACCAAGACAATCGATTTCGTGCAACGTAAGTAAGATGGATTCGG